AAAAAACCACGCTCTGCTACCATCTGAGCCGACCCCTCGCACCGCCCCCAGACGAACAACTAATGGAAGCATGCCCCCCATAGTGACAGTGCGAGTGGCCACCCCACATCCCTAACAAGTGAAAGGCCGTGGGTGAATGTCAGAAACAAAACAAACAGTGAACAAAGCCTATATATTTTTATCAAAAATTCAACAAAAAAAACAATCAACAATTAACAACAAAGCAGCCATCCAAAGAATTATTTTATCAAAATATTCCAAAATATATTTAAGAAATTTAAATAAAATCTAATTTTGTCTACCCTCCTGAACTTACATAATACTTTCTGGTAACTGGGAAAAAGTTTGGCCTAACAATTAAAGGACGGTAGCTGATCAGTATTAAACTTTAAATAGAATAACAATAAATAAATAATAAATACTATAAAGATAAATAACGGTGTAATAAATATTTTGGATAAATAGCTAGCCTATAGTGATAAATCATTTTGGGGCCCCATTAAATAGCAGTCTTGTTTTAAATGTTCATTAGCCAGATTCAAATTAACTTGCGGCACAACGATTGTCCTTCCTGGTGGCAATTGTCCTTAGGCGGTGGTGGCAGAAAGCGGATGGTGGCTTAATGGTCTCCGGAGAAACTGGGCCATTGGCAGCCCGAGGAGGACGAAGATGGTGTGTTCCCCCGGGCGACCCTCTCCGAAGACAGCAGCCGAAACAAGCCTCCCATCCGGGACCCTTTGAACATATTCCAGGCCTAACTAATAAAAGTCCATATAACTGGAGTGTAACCTTAGGCCTACCTAGTTTTTTAAGCAAAAAATTCCAAAAAACAATTTCCGCCCCACTCGTTTACTGACCAAAACTATTACAAAAGATTTTATTAATAAATATTCTTCTTTTAAATTAGGCTTTCCTTTATAAAACAGTTTTTAAGAGTGATAAAGAGAAAATTACTAGAAATAAATTAATTCAGTTCAATAAAGCTCTAAAACATAACAATAAATAGACTTTTAAATTTTACAAACTTTAACAACACATTCTTACAGCCATTTTTCATAAAAATTGAAATTGACAATAAAAAATATGAATTATCTGGTCCAGAAGGGTAAAACACATTAATCAAACACAAAACAATTACATAAATACTACAATAAATACTTCAAAAAACAGTTTACACAAAATCTTAAAAATTCTTTGGCTGGAGGTGCATTTTCAGGTAAAACCGGTAATAACTCCGGTTATTACCAACCAAATTTGCTCAAATTGCTTTTAAAAGCTGTGGCACAGGTGCCCGCAGCTTTTAAAAGACATACCCATGCCTACCAACTAGCCTGAGGCTAGGTAGGGGGTCAGTTACCTACGGTCACTCAGAAAACAGGAAAGCGCTAAACTAAAACTTAAATAACTCGGTCATTTATCAACCAAACTTAATGAAAATTGCAGGGGACATGTAAGAGCACTAATACTAACTAATTATGACCGAGCTTGGCCCCCAGGAGGCGCCATTACTTAACTAAAAAAAATTAGGCTGAGTGACATGGCCTACATTACAAATAACAAAAAAAACACTTTTACAGGGGACAAAGGGACAAAATTTACATTAAACAAATTGTAGGCCACAATAACAAAACCAAAATGAGCACAAACTAGGCCTTAGGCCTAATAGTAAGTTAACAGGGACACAGAACAAACGGACCCTAGCCCGCACAAAAGTGAGTTTCAAAGTGAGTTTTCTTGGGTAATATCTGGCCTAGAGTCTCGGGGAAAGCTTTGAAAACTTGACGACAAAGAAAACTACAAAACTAACCAGAAAAACTTGTGGTTTGACCACACAAAGCTTGGCCAAAGGCCCATTGAAACTCTGAACAATTCCAGGCTCAGAAATGGGTCTAGCGCCTTGAAAAACAAGTAATTGGTAATTAAAAAAGTAATTCCAATGCACAGAGGGTGCTTAATACTTGTTTTTCACTAGCCAAAACCCACTCAAAGCCTGCTCAACATGTGGCCGAAGGCCAAAACTAATCAAGAAACTTTCTAACCTAAACAAATCAAAAATAATCAATCAACTTACTCATCTGACGACTGGCAATCCGTTTAATTACATGTTACTGAAAATTAGGTTTGTATGCAACACAGTAGAAAAACTGAAAGGATGGTAAGAGATAATTTGACATAACCTTAAACACAAATCTTGACAGTAACCTATGACAGCCGCACGTCTTCTGGTTCACAAGTCAAGCGGACATTCACTCTGGGTTGCAGGTTTGCTGCCCGACCCAAACCAAACGAGTTCCGGCGCAAGGCCAGCACTCGCACTATACAAAAACACTGAGGCGTGACATTGGTGGGACGCTTGGCGTACAAGTCACGGCTCACTCATCTGCTGGAAACTTTGTTTAGACTAGATTAGTCAACATGAAACCGTTTTATTTCAATTTCAAAATAAAATATAATTATTTTTTCATTGTATTTGCTTCCATTATTATTATTATTTAGAATCAAAATAATAACTAGTATTAACGCTCTCAACAATCTAATTATCGTTTATAAATAAAAACCTTTTCATTTAACTACTTTTAACCTTTTTTTCCTAAAATTCATTTGACTATGTATGGGTTGGCTTATCTCGTTGCACGAAAGAACAAATTGACTGGACTTCATTAGATGGTAATATATTTATTCAGAGAAAAGGGTGAAGGGCAAATAGGGCCAAGGGCGAAAAAGGGCTAAGAAGGAAAAGGGCTAAGGACAAAAAAGGGCCAAGTGCGAAAAAGGGTCAAGGGCAAAAAATGGCTAAATACGAAAAAGGGCCAAGGGCGAAAAAAGGCTGAGGATGAAAAAGGACCAAGGGTAAAAAAGGGCTAAGGACGAAAAAGGGCCAAGGGCAAAAAAGGGCCAAGGGTGGAAAAGGGCCAAGGGCAAAAAAGGGCCGAGGGTGAAAAAGGGCCAAGGGCAAAAAAGGGCCGAGGGTGAAAAAGGGCCAAGGACGAAAAGGGCTAAGGACGAAAAAGGGCCAAGGGCGAAAGAGGACCAAAGGCGAAAAAGGGCCAAGGGCGAAAGAGGACCAAAGGCGAAAAAGGGCCAGGGGCAGAATGGGCTAAGAAAAAAAGAGGGCTATGGACGAAAAAGGGTTAAGGGTGAAAAAGAGCTTAGGACGAAAAAGGGCCAAGGTCCAAAGGCGGAAAAGGGCCAAGGGAGAAAAAGGGCTAAGGGCGAAAACGGTCTAAGGACGAAAAGGGCCAAGTACAAAAAAAGGGTCAAGGGCAAAAAAGGGCTAGGGACGAAAAAGGGCCAAGTACGAAAAAGGGTCAAGGGCAAAAAAGGGCTAGGGACGAAAAAGGGCCAAGGGCTAAATGGACTAAGAATGAAAAAAGCTAAGGACGAAAAAAGATTAAGGGCGAAAAAAGGTTAAGGGCGAAAAAGGGCCAAGGACGAAAAAGGGCTAAGAACGACAAAGGGCTAAGGACGAAAAAGGGTCAAGGGCAAAAAAGGGCCAAGGAAGAAAAAGGGCTTAGGACGAAAAAGGGCCAAGGGCGGAAAAAGGCCAAGGAAGAAAAAGGGCCAAGGATGAAAAAGGGCCAAGGGCGAAAAAGGGCTAAGGACGAAAAAGGGCCAAGGGCGAAAAAGGGCTAAGGATAAAATAGGGCCAAGGGCGAAAAAGGGCTAAGGACGAAAAAGGGCCAAAAGGGAAAAAGGGCCAAGGGCGAAAAAGGGCTAAGGGCGAATAAGGGCCAATGGCGAAAAGGGGCCAAGGGCGGAAAAGGGCCAAGAGCAAAAAAGGGCAAAGGGCGGAAAAGGGCCAAGGGCGAAAAAGGGCTAAGAATAAAAAAGGGACAAGGGTGAAAAAGGGCTAAGGACGAAAAAGTACAAAGAGCAAAAAAAGGGCAAAGGGCGATAAAGGGCCAAGGCCAAAAAACGTCTAATGACGATACGGACCAAAGGTGGAAAAGGGCCAAGGGCAAAAAAGGGCCGAGGGCAGAAATGGGCCAAGGGCGAAAAAGGGCCAAGGGCGAAAAAGGCCTAAGAGCAAAAAAGGGCAAAGGGCGGAAAACGGCCAAAGGGCGAAAAAGGGCTAAGGACGAAAAAGGGCCAAGGGTGGAAATAGGCCAAGGGCAAAAATGGCCTAGGGTGAAAAAGGGTCAAGGACGAAAAGGGCTAAGGACGAAAAAGGGCCAAGGGCAAAAAAAGGCTAGGAACAAAAAGGGCTAAGGATGAAAAAGGGCCAAGGGCGAAAAAGGGCTAAGGATGAAAAAGGGCCAAGGGCGAAAAAGGGCTAAGGACGAAAAAGGGCCAAGGGCGAAAAAGGGCTAAGAATAAAAAAGGGACAAGGGTGAAAAAGGGCTAAGGACGAAAAAGTACAAAGAGCAAAAAAAGGGCAAAGGGCGATATAGGGCCAAGGCCAAAAAAAGTCTAATGACGATACGGACCAAGGGCAAAAAAGGGCCAAGGGCAGAAATGGGCCAAGGGCGAAAAAGGGCCAAGGGCAAAAAAGGGCCGAGGGTGAAAAAGGGCCATGGGCAAAAAAGGGCCAAGGGCGAAAAAGGGCTAAGGACGAAAAGGGCTAAGGACGAAAAAGGGCCAAGGATGAAAAAGGGCTAAGAACGAAAAAGGGCTAAGGATGAAAATGGGTTAGGGTGAAAAAGGGCCAAGGGCGAAATTGGCTAAGGACGAAAAAGGGCCAAGGGTGAACATGGGCCAAAAAAAAGGGCCAAAGACGAAAAAGGGCTAAAGTCGAAAAAGGGCCAAGGAAGAGAAAGGGTGAAGGGCGAAAAGGGCTAAGGGCGAAAAAGGGCCAAGGGCGAAAAAGGGCCAAGGGCGAAATTGGCTAAGGACGAAAAAGGGCCAAGGGTGAACAATGGCCAAAAAAGGGCCAAAGGCGAAAAAGGGCTAAAGGCGAAAAAGGGCCAAGGAAGAAAAAGGGTCGAGGGCGAAAAGGGCTAAGGGCGAAAAAGGGCCAAGTGCGAAAAAGGTTTAAGGACGAAAAGGGCCAAGGGCAAAAAATGGCCCGGGGCCGAAAAGGGCCAAGGGCAAAAAAGGGCCAAGGGCGAAAAAGGGCCAAGGACGAAAAGGGCCAAGGACGAAAAAGGGCCAAGGGCAAAAAAGGGCCAAGGATGAAAAAGGGCCAAGGACGAAAAGGGCTAAGGACGAATAAGTGCCAAGGGCGAACAAGGGCTAAAGGCATAAAAGGGCCAAAGGTGAAAAAGAGCCAGGGGCGAAAAAGGGCCAAGGGTGAAAAAGGGCTAAGGGCGAAAAAAGGCCAAGGGCGAAAAAGGTTTAAGGACGAAAAGGGCCAAGGGCGAAAAAGGGCCAAGGGCGGAAAAGGTTCAAGGGCAAAAAAGGGCCAAGGGCGAAAAAGGGCCAAGGGCGGAAAAGGGCAAAGGGCAAAAAAGGGCCAAGGATGAAAAAGGGCCAAGGACGAAAAGGGCTAAGGACGAATAAGTGCCAAGGGCGAACAAGGGCTAAAGGCAAAAAAGGGCCAAAGGTGAAAAAGGGCCAAGGACGAAAAGGGCCAAGGACGAAAAAGGGCCAAGGGCAAAAAAGGGCCAAGGACGAAAAGGGCTAAGGACGAATAAGTGTCAAGGGCGAACAAGGGCTAAAGGCAAAAAAGGGCCAAAGGTGAAAAAGAGCCAGGGGCGAAAAAGGGCCAAGGGTGAAAAAGGGCTAAGGGCGAAAAATGGCCAAGGGCGAAAAAGGTTTAATGACGAAAAGGGCCAAGGGCAAAAAAGGGCCAAGGGCGGAAAAGGGCCAAGGGCAAAAAAGGTCTAAGGATGAAAAGGGCCAAGGGCAAAAAAGGGCCAAGGGCGGAAAAGGGCAAAGGGCAAAAAAGGGCCAAGGGTGAAAAAGGGCAAAGGACGAAAAGGGCTAAGGACGAAAAAGGGTCAAGGGCGAAAAAGGGCTAGGGACGAAAAAGGGCCAAGGATGAAAAAGGGCCAAGGACGAAAAGGGCTAAGGACGAATAAGTGCCAAGGGCGAACAAGGGCTAAAGGCAAAAAAGGGCCAAAGGTGAAAAAGGGCCAAGGACGAAAAGGGCCAAGGACGAAAAAGGGCCAAGGGCAAAAAAGGGCCAAGGATGAAAAAGGGCCAAGGACGAAAAGGGCTTAGGACAAATAAGTGCCAAGGGCGAACAAGGGCTAAAGGCAAAAAAGGGCCAAAGGTGAAAAAGAGCCAGGGGCGAAAAAGGGCCAAGGGTGAAAAAGGGCTAAGGGCGAAAAATGGCCAAGCGCAAAAAAGGTTTAAGGACGAAAAGGGCCAAGGGCAAAAAAGGGCGAAGGGCAAAAAAGGGCCAAGGGCGGAAAAGGGTCAAGGGCAAAAAAGGGCCAAGGGCGAAAAAGGGCCAAGGGCAAAAAAGGTCTAAGGATGAAAAGGGCCAAGGGCAAAAAAGGGCCAAGGGCGGAAAAGGGCAAAGGGCAAAAAAGGGCCAAGGGTGAAAAAGGGCCAAGGACGAAAAGGGCTAAGGACGAAAAAGGGTCAAGGGCGAAAAAGGGCTAGGGACGAAAAGGGCCAAGGTCGAAAAAGGGCCAAGGGCGAAAAAGGGCCATGGGCGAAAAAGGGCCAAGGGTGAAAAAGGGCTAAGGACGAAAAAGGGCTAAGGTCGAAAATTAGTCAAGAGCGAAGGGCAAATGTCTGAAATATGATAATAAGGGATACAATATTAGACTGCAAGTACAACACTTATGTTCTGCCACTAGTCATGATTTTCTCCATTTTTAAATCCATAAGACATCCATAAGGATGGACCTTTTTCGTTGAACGAAACAACGAATTGTCTTCATTAAATGGTAAAATATTTTTCGAATTTTGAATATCAATGAAAATATGTTTGGTATTTAAATTCTAGCTTCAACTTTCAACTTGTAAAACACACTGCAACTCTTAAAATTGGAACAGTGATTGAAACCACAAAGCATTCATGCTTACTTTTGTAATCCTGCTTGTTTCTGTATTGCCCCGTTTGTATCCCAACCTTCAATCAAAAGTAAACCAATATTTTCCCTTTCTAATGTATCACAAAATAATAATCAGTACATTTACACTATCTCGGTAAAAACTATTGCAATGTACTTCTTCTAAACTTGTGTTTGTAATGTACAATGAGAAAAATACAGTAAATAGTTTTAAAAATACAAACATTTGTTTTTATCTTATTAATAGTATTATTTTATTAATACAATTGTAGCATTCCTAAGGTACTGGCTTTACTACAGTAAAAAAGTCCTGTTTTTTTTTACAAATAATTGTTAATATCTTCATTTATTTCTGAGTAAGGTGTTATCGAATAGGAAATTAAGATGTATGGGCACTATGTATGCAATGTACGTTATGTATGTAAGGGTTCCATCTGGTTCTTGTAATTTTGTTCATGCATTGTTACTTTAATAAAGTCATACATAACATTATGCTTAAATTATTTCATTGTTATTTTAATTTATGGCTGCAATTCAACTTCCACTAAAATATTGTGTACACTAAAGGTATATTTGATATGCTATGCATCTGCTTTATATATTTTTTACGCTGGTATGGATAAATGTTCAATCGAATGTAGTTTTGAATGTCCGTTATAAATAATAAACATTGATTGAGGTTACGACTGAAACCAAAAAAATAACTAAAAATCTTACATCCATTAGTATTACTAAATATTTATGGTGTCACTTACCTAGACTCCACGTATTGATTTATTCATTTAAGTTCTTTGGTTTGGAATGTGCATATTTAATATTTTTAAATATAAAATAAAATGCAATGCACAAGAGCTTAATCAACAGTCTTAGATAGAAAAGTAATGAAGTTCAGAAAGTTTTGAAACTACTCAGATTTCAATCGGTTATAGGGTTGTGAGGAAAGTTTTTGAAACTAATAAAAGAGAATCTTGAGATTCGGAAGTTTATAACTTTATTAATACAACTTTTTGAATTAATTTTTACGTATTTCATTTTTATTTTTAAATAATTAAACATGTCTTAAAAATCAAGTAGTGATCTCCATATCAGTTAATTTGGTAAATATTGAGATTGAAATATCATAAACTAATCAATGAAATATAGGTAAAAGGTTTAACATGTCCGATGATTATTACGCGTTTTTTTTCGTTTTGTGTTTTGGCCAATCAGTGTTAAATGTTCCCTGAACGTGTATGTGTAATTTTTTTGTGAACTTTAAAGCTTATGACGACCATTCTATGGAATAAATCAATGCAACAATTTGACCTGAAGATCTGTTAATGTTAACATGAAACAGCTGTAGTCAACCAACTACAAACCAGGATCACTTGACGGATACTGGTAATTTAAACCTTTTATTGTAAAAATCAGTGATCCAGAGGATATACAATGAAAATGAATTAGGTATCCTAAACAAAAAAAGCATCTAAATTCATTTGAAACAAATTTAAAATTTCTCTTTATTTGTCGTGTATCATTTATGCATTTATAATGCTGAAATTAAAACAAGTAGGAGTCAAAAAGCTAAATAATTTTAACCCTAACTCGCGTTAGGTCAAAATGTAAACCATACCGTACCTTCAAGAAATTTAATATCTACAATTTTGCAAGATTTTTCAGATAAAGAAGCAATGATATTTTTCCCTAGAACGTGTGAACTCTGAAGATTAACAGCTGGTACTGTTTATTTTGTTAACAGATGTTTCAACATGGTAGTGATGTTTACAATACCAACATTGGTCAGCCAATATGAACTTGGTCAACATTATTAGCATATTAGGTTTTAATAATTACCGTCATTAAAATGGAATTATTGTTCACTGATGAAAACAATACTCGAAATTTAAGGTTTGAGGTGGGCACGTTAATTTCACATAACATTTGATACATCTCAAATTCCTCAATAAGATTGATGATGATATGTCTAAAAATAACTCATACAAAATGCGTAATTGTTATTGTTATACGGTTACTAAATAAAGCAGTCTTGTGCTTCAGATATCCTACAACTTTTGCAATTAAACTTGCATTTGTAACCAGCCTAATTATCGTTTTTCCCAAAGAGGGAAACGTGATTTAAGTTTTGTGAATCAAGACGTGTTCTAATATTGTAATGTAAGTCAATAATAACAGTTTATAATTAAGTTTTGCTGAGGGAATCACACATAAATATAAATTTTATACTTTTAAGAACGAATACAATTGTTTGAAAACATATGTATAATTTTAACAAAATAGAAAATGTCCTTTTTGCAAAATAAAATAATTTATATGCTGGTATGTGTTGACGTTAACCTCTAAAAATTTTAAATAAAGTTGTATTTTAGTATTTTTTACAGTATATATAAATAACCTCCCGGAAGAAATTGGACAACAAATTGGACAACAACTCAGATACATACTCTTCGCAGATGACACGACAATCATACTTCCCACTGACCGAACAACAGATAACACCGATTTCATCAATGAAACTCTTAATAAGGCCACCGCATACTGCAACACAATAAACCTGAGTATAAATAAAAACAAGACGACCCACATAAAATTCACACCCAACAACAACAACAGATTAGAAGAGGACTGGACCAACCTAGACATTCCAACGACCAACTCCACAAAATTCCTTGGCATAATTGTCGATAAACACCTAAACTGGGAAGATCACATAAATTACCTATCAAAAAAACTGTCAACTGCAAGGCATGTGATAAAAAGAATCCGCACACTCACGAATGAAGACGTAGCTATAATGGCCTACCATTCGCTTTTTCATTCCCACATAAAATATGGTATCACAGCCTGGGGATTAGCAAGCACTGGTAACATTGAAAAGATCTTAACCATACAAAAGAGTACAATCCGTGCAATCTTGAGACTTCACTACCTTGAACACTGCAAACCCCTCTTCATCAAACTCAAAATCCTAACAATTACCTCCCAGTATATATTTGACACAATACTCCTAGCCAAAAAATCATCCTTCACCCCACGATCAGACATAGGCCTACACACCTACAACACCCGAAACAAACACAACATTAACACAAAGCAACATCGACTACAAAAAACCAGCAATACACCCATCAACTCAGGTACATATTATTATAATTTATTACCAGAACATTTAAAATCAATAACCACAATCAAAAGCTTCGCTAAAAAGCTCAAAGAATACTTAATAAACAGGCCATATTACAAAACCACAGACTACATAGAACAGCACACATACCAACACCTCAAATGAGCAACTTCTTCAAGACTCCTCCAAGAGGGAAGAAATCTGACGACTCCCCGATCCGAAGATTGCGGCGAGGACTACGTGGTAAATGGTAAATGGTAAATGTAGTTGTTTTAGTGGGAGCTACACATTTGATGGAATTGTTTTCGGTTCTATTGAAGTCAGGGTTGTTGAGGCGTTTCCGTTTTCAAGGTCTTATTTACCACTTATTATCACAAAAAAAACAACAAAAAAAACTGTTAGTTGATACAAAATTCAAATACCCCTACATTAATATTACTACTTGAATACCATGAATAAATTGTGTAGCATTTCACCATCAGATCTAAAAATACTGTAAATACTGTTGTACAGAATTAAAATTATGTAATATGTAATTGTTAACGAAAAAATATTCTGATTACTTATATATGTTGATTTAATTTGATCAACACAACTAAAATAAGAAGAACTAAGATTATTTCTAAAACGACGCAGACTGAATTATAGACAAAGGTTAGAAGCTCAGCTATTATTGATAGTCAGTCGAGACAGGTTGGGTTGGGTTGACATTTATCACAACAACTAGCTGCCGTTGTAAAGACATGAGATGTGTCTTAGTATGGTTCTGCCTCTACTACCTGATTCGTGACGACTTTTGAGACAAATACTGGGGTTTTGTAGTTTTTTTTTTCTAAAATAGTAACCATTAACTAATTGCGTGGTAATTTTGATATACTTCCTATAATATTTCAATGTTGATTTATTTTTATAAAGGAATGCTACTGGAAAAATCTGCTCACTATTTTGGAACACAAATTAGTTCAGAAATAACTAGGAGGCATTTATAACAAAGGAACGTATACCTTCCTTATATATTCGAGTGATGTATTTAAAAATTGATATTTGCCAAGCAATTAGAGGTGGTAAACTTATCTGTTTAGGTAATAGAATTCCAGTTTGGTATTGTAATTGAAGTAAATAAACACAGTACGTAAATCTGATAAAAATTAGGATTCTTATGACTAAGAGAATTTCCGTGAATAATTCATTCCCAAAATGTGTATTTTTTTTACCAAAAAACGTTTTGCATTCAAGGCAAAAAATTAATTACAGGATATTCAATACTTATACAAGATACCTTTTTTCCTTGTAGGAAGAAGTATAGCCTGTTAAAACTTTAAATGAAGTTGGTAAACATTGAGATTCTCTAGAGGTTGAGACCACTAAAATACCTTGAGGAGATGTACACCGGTTGCGTGTGTAATTTCACTTTAGAGATTAGGAAATTTTAATGTTTATTTTCAGATTTAATACTGTACATCCATTTTCATAAACTACTTTTCCTTTTGTTTCAACGGATTTCTACTTTATTTTTCTTTCGTCACTAAACCTGTTAAATATCAAATACATCATACTTAAAAGTAATCATTTCATTACCTTCGTTGGGTCGTTTATATTCTAACCCTAGTTTCAATAAATAAAGGGCAACGTCAGTTAAAATACTTTTGTAAGCACACTCTAAAACTTAAAGATCCAACTATCTAATTTAGATGTGCTACATTTACTAAATTTATTTTAGGTATGTGATGATCATTAAAATACAATGAGCAATGATATTAAACCCAAAATATTTCGATAACGAAGCAATTGAATTTTCTCTATCAGAATTATTTGTTTGGATAAATCAGCTTCAGAAAGTAAGAGATTGACTTAGCTGCTATTACGATATGTATTGCGGGGCTAAATTCTCTCCTTTTCTCCCTAGGGTAAAAATAGCTGAAGTGTAGGAAGGTCTACTGTATAATTTTGACGGAATTGAAATTGATTTCTGAATTCTGATTTCGACCAATGGTTTTGTCGAAGGAAAAATTGCGAAATTGCAAAAATATTATATTACTGTCATTGTTATTTCGTGTTGATTTTCGTGTCATATTGTAATTTATACTACGGTATAAAAAAATCTAAAAAAATGACATACATTTATATGTAAGAGAATTTCGGTAATCAAGATTCTACATTATTATGTTGGTGAAGTTTTTGATTCAGTTAGATAACAGTAAGAACTTTTCATGATAAACACAAAAACGAAAATATTTTAGGATTTAGATTTAAATGTTATAAATTATGTACAATCTTTAACTATTTGGCTTATTGGTGCAGTATGACGAAAAATATACACGACTTGGGTTCTGGTCGAAAACAGTAACTTTCTGTCCTAATACATAATACACTATTATATTCGTGTATTTTTTGTCCTTTAGCGTTGTGCCGTTTTCTAAACACAAACGTCCCGATCACAACCCCACAGAGCGCGCTGTAAGTGTAACGGATGACAATGGTTCCTCCCCCCTTGTAGGGTGACAGGCGACACTTTATATTGCTTATGGCCTTCATACATCTCAATATCTGCACGACGTTTACTGTAGGTGGGTCTCAGGTATTTATACAGTTTTTTTATTCGTTCTTTATCAACATTTATCTGTGTACTGGCGAATAGTTTACACGTTGCCTATAAAACTGTATGGTACAGTATACCATCGAAATTTTACTTACCGTTTAGTGTTGTAAGAAGCATTAAGTTTGCTGATAATATTTATATACTTCTGGGACAATAATGATTGTTGGCTTGAAATAATCACTTAGAAAATGCTAAGAGTATTAAATATGTAACCTAAATTGTTTTCATTGTAATATATTTCAAACGAATAAAAACGTTTGTATCTTTTTCAATTTATTAACTCTTGTGTGTTCTTTTTTTCACAAAATCACACACTAAGAAATAAATGGCAACTACCAACAACTAGAAAATCTGAACATTTGTCACACTAAAAAAAGATTCAATAAGCGAACTGTTTATGGATGTTTATGGATTAGACTATTAAATGTCATTGACAAGATATCACACACACTTGTTATTTGTGCTAAGGTTAAAATTAATCTGACTCACACTTACCAAACGATCCCTTAGCGTTTCTGAAACATAAAAATGCATTTGTTAGAAGGTTCTATAAATCATGTAAGCAAAGAAAATAAGGAAAAAAATAAAATAAAATATTTATAAAAATCTTTCCCTTTTAGGTTAGGTTTATTTCTAAAAACATGTTTGACGATCACTATTTAAAGTACCCTTATCAATTGCAATTATAAGTACAATTATATATTTTAATTTATTAAACATGGAGTAGGATAACTAATTTTATAGCGCTTTTAAAATTGGATCATCTATTCTGAATTCAAAATAATATGCTGTATATAACCGTTACGTTATCCAGATCTTGGTCTCCGGTAATATAAAGATAAGAAGAGAAACGAAAAGATCAAAGTTTAAATGAAGTTGGTAAACAATACTGTTTGCTCCAGGGGTTATGGAACAATACCTTTCTTGTTTAAAAGACTTGTAACAGGTTTCTCGAGTACAACTTTGCAATTTTCTTGTTAAGCTTATATCAAATGTTTGGTTTTTGATAAACTGCTAATGTTGTTGTTAACTTTTATGGTTTAATCTATATAATGGTTTTTGCGTAGCATATGCAGCTATTTTAAACACAAATGCAGTACACCTTTAATAATTGGGATTATAAAGTTATGATAGAAATTACATTAAAATTGATACATTTATAGATTTATTGATGCCGTTATGTGTATGGGTGTACATTTAAATTGAACTGTAACCACTTCTATGCACTTCACTTTGCCAAAAAAGTAATTTTCATATTATAAATACATTTATAATATAAAAAAGCATCGAATCAATCATCGAAAATTATAAGACAACATTGTTATGGATATAAATTGAAAACTACAACTCATGTAATTAAATGTTTAGTTGTGAAATCTTATTTTAAAAGGACTTTGTTAATAATTTTAAATGATTTCATACCAAGTTTCCTAAATGGTTATCCACTGTCATTTTTACGTACTGGTAACCCATAGTAAATACACAATAAGCACACAATTATACTTGTCTCATTTTAATTTTAAAATATTATTTTATTATAATGAAACAAAAACTATTTATATACATTTGTGGAAGCGAAATCACAAAAACTAATAGTTGAAAATAGGTATATCTCTACACATAAAATTTTAACTTTCAATGATTTTTAATATGGAAATTTCACGTAAAAAAAGAAAAAAAAATAACTTTGTTACGGAAAAAATAATTCAAATGTTAAACACTTCTTAGAATACCTTTTGCCTCTAATATCACTTTTAGTTTACAAAGTCTGTCTCTTAACTGGTACAGTAGCTATGCGTATTACTTAAAAATGAAATTGCAATTATAATTTACAATTTAACTAGTATCGAAAAAACTGTTTTCTTGTTGCACCTTAAATGTACAAAGATATTCTAAACCGTAAGATATTTTGGTATTCAAAGTTTCCTTTACATAAAAAAATATACCAGGCAATACAATAAATAATTTTATCTTTTGGGTAGCAGACCTTTTAATACAGAATACTCTGTTAATTAAATTAAACTTTAATTATAAAGTTATGTTTTATACTAAAAATAACGTAGATCACAGCCTACATCTTGTATTATTGGCAAGGAAATCATTGTGGGTTACATAATTGAGTATCTTTCAAGGTTATAAGCCTATGACTTATTAAGCCTAAAGTATCAACAATATGTATAGTGTTTCATTTTAATAAAAAGGATATATTTTACAGGAACTAAGCTGAAAGCGCAATGATGCAAGATCAGTCTATTTCTAGAGTATTATGTTTAGAAATTAATTCCTTAAGAAATTAACTGCAGTTAAACTACGCACAATATCAGCTTGAATGGATTTCAAAAGGAAATCTGCATGGCTCAAATTTTAAAATGAGAAAGAAATTCATTTAAATAACTCTTTTTACAAAGTATTTGAAGGAACTAAACTCTCAATGGATATATTCTTATATCAAATCGTTTTTTGTAAGTTAGTTTTAGGTTTGCATGAATGAAACAAAACAATAAACAGGGCAATCTGATCCCGAGCAAAGTTTTAGGAGAACATAAACACAGATTTGCCGTATGGGACTAACATTGTTAGTAAGGCTTTGGGCGTAAACATTGTATGTGTTGTTTTATGGATAATTTATAATCCTGGCTGATCAACAATAGTGTTAAAATTGAAATATACTAAATGCATTGACATTGTTTTTGTATTATTTTTCGTTAGAATGTAGCTTTTATGTCCCACCTTCACATCTTATACAATATTTGTATTTAGAAATATTTTTATTTATGGAAATGTATTGTATTTACGTGAAAATACAGGATACAAAATATGTTTTTTGCAAGACTCCCTTAGTCAGGTAATTAAGCTTTATTTTGTACGAAATTTTACATTAGTAGACAATATTTTTTTAATCACATTAGATAAGATCAAATAGGTAAATACTATCTTATAATCTGAAAATGTAAACTCAATTCATACGATTTTAATTTATCTTTTCTTAAAACTAAATTTAGAAAATGTGTAGCCTAATATGTGTTCAAGCAATATTTCCTTTTTAGACGAGATGGCACAAATACCAGCAGGACATAAACATTGATAATAAACTAACAACAAACATAGATTACGATCATAACAATATATTACTAACACAACACTATTGCCTTGTTCTTTTTTTATCGACACGAAATTAATAAAAGAGAGGAAAATATATCTAGTAATAAATGTCATAAATGAACTTTAAGTCGGCCAAAGCAAGCAAAAACTACTATACACTTACGCGAACTCGCCATATTTTATAGCATTTGTCCATAAGAAATCACCCAAAAAACATCTAGGATATTTTGATGAAAAGGTTCTTGTAGATTATATGTAGGTATTTTTATGTGTTTATGAATTTGTTTGATGAACATTAAATTTACACAACTATTTGTACGCATTTAATATCACAATACAATATAGATGTTGTATTATTTAAGTTTAAGTTCAATAGTATTTCAATGACATGTGTTAACTTTAATAGCAAACCTTACCTAAGGAATTTATAATATGGTATCACATTTAACCATTATTTTTCCATTTATGACAACGGTTCTTCATATAACATAAAAGTGCAATATTAATTTTAGGTGATTTGTAACGAGCAAACTAAATTTCGTGCTTTAAACTAACTTCTGAATGAGTTGAAACAAATTAAAAGGTTATATGTGAAAACATAAAATATGAATATAACGCCGGTTTCTTCCAACAATCTCATTAAATAGATTTGCAATATGAAATTAACGTGGACTCAATTGAATCAATTAAGGCTCATAATTACCTATGATTGGAAAATTGTCTTGCGTGTCACTTAAATAGGTCAAAACTAAATGATTTTTTAGCTATTATTAGTTACCTATTATTATATTATTCAACTATCATTACACAACATTAATTACCACACAACATTAATTTATCAACATAGGCACATTTTACTAATATCGACGTTAGAATTTGACCGTTTTTTAAAGACCACTGGCAAACTAAAAAAGCATACAAAATTTACTCATTGCATAACTGTTTACTATATAATATTTTATGTAATTACCAATGGTACATTGATATAGAAAATTAGTTACTATTAAAACATTATTAATTAATTATTATATTAAGGAATCGTTATTAAATACCGAATTATTTTTATAATTTCCTAAATTGAGTTCAATTTCAACAACAAAACTTACTAACGAGTGCCAACGAGAAATAATTTTCACTATTCGTTACACATATTCCAAAACCAAACCTTCCTAAATAAGCTTTGTGGTTCAGTAAATATTGGCAAACAAGTTTTATGTCTTTACCGCTGACCAGAAATGGGTGGTTATATTTAGTGTGACAGTTCCAACCAACTTTAGTTTTCCATGCCCTAGAACTGTTTGTAATTTTGATAAAGCTAAATTTGCAATAGAAAATTATAAAAATACTACCATGGTTGTTTGATACTCTTTGTCATACTCCCATAATTACTTGTTTCCTCTATGCCATTTTTATTTAGAATGATTCATTTAACATCCGTTATATAAATTTTTTTTTCTTAATATACACAGTTACAGTCCACTAAAAGCTCTTTACTTATTTATTATTAGAAGTTAATTTCAACGCAATGCAGTTATCTAACATAAAAATAATGCAACCCTTTAAATTACACCTTATCAAATATATACAGTTTAAAATCATGATTTCATTTTAACTCTTTGATATCTAATATGTTTGGTTGATTACGATACAGTCAATATGTCTTACTCTTTTTGATAATTTATTTATTTTAAGATGAATGAATTTACTTTGTTTACTACTGTATATATATATGAACAAGATACATTAGACCTCATCAAATTCTATCCATGAACTAAAAAGCTGCTTATAGAAACTGTTAACTTGGAATAAATTAAAGATATAACAAATATTTCATCTATAATTTATTTTACTACACAAATATAATACTAGAGAAAATTGTCTTTTTGAATAGAAGTATGTCGTTTTCTAAGCTGTGACAGGTTTTTCATTCACACAGTTTTCTGCTTGACGAATAGCTTTGCTCCAAGTTTTAAAGATTTATCGGTTTTCTAAGTTTAAATTAGTTTCCTTCCTAGACTCCGATAGCGACTGCTGTCACATATTGGATGAATGTGTTGAAATATAAACGTCGTACGAATTATTAGTCTGTAAAGTAAACTATAACTTGTAACCTTCTCATTTAAGTGTCTTCATGCAGGATGAGAAAAAGATGCAAGCAAACATATTACTTTTAATTCAATCCTATGTTTCCTATTATAATGATATTATCTTTCAAAAATCTTATAAGTTAGCTGTTTAAAGTTAAAGCTACCTTTGATAATAATTGTAATTGCATTACAAATAAAAGAAAAGTAGAGATGACAAATTTAAATATATAAAGAAAATTTTACTTTTTCCTTGTTTTATATTCCCATAGTTTCTAAAAATCTTTAAATTATTTCAAGTAAGGTTATAAAAAATTATAATTAAGGAA